ATTGCTGACTGTATCTGTGTGTTCAGGAAGTTCTACTTTGGTTTCATGGAGGACAGCGGATACATCGACGGACTCATCATGGGGTGAGTTTTGACGCTTCTCCTGTAGGTCGTTAAGCTCATTAACAGCACCTGTTCCTGCAGAGACGCTCTCGTTCCCTCCTTGATGGTGGTCAACCTGTCCAATGATGGCTACTTCCTGCCACCAGCCCCCATAGAGACAGAGCTGCAGCTGCTGGACTTCCTGGACGGCGTGCTGGACGGCAGCGTGGAGGTATAGGGGGGGCGATGTGGCAGTTGGGATCATTTGGGGCAACTGATCCTCTGAGGAGGTGCAGCAGTCCTTGATTTCTCTCTCACCTGCTCCTCAGGCTCTGGGAGGGAATGACTTGACTCAGCGCATCCGACGCTTCCTTTACGAGACCAGAATGACACTAACGGTAAGTGACATCATCAGCTCACTTCCTGCTTCCTGTCTGAGCCTCTGCTCACGGCCCATCCCTCTAGCCGGTGTTCAGGGACGCCCCGGTGCTCGGCTGCTTCTTGATTGGCTTCCCGCTGGCGGTCGGCTGCGTCTTCTGCTACCTCTGCATCAAGAACCGACCCGGTTCTGCTGATGACGACGAAGACACTCCTCTACTGGCGCCGTCGATGCAACGCAAGAAGAAACTGTCAGAGAAAAAGTCTGATTGAGCGGATGTGGAGGAACTAGACTTTCGGTCCAGTTATGTAGATCTTCAAGAAAAGGTTCTGGTTTGACCCAGATGTACTTTTGAACAGGAACTTTCATTAGTCAGCTCAGTTGTGTCTGTTTTAATCCCAATTAAAATCATAAGTCAGTGAAATGTCTCTGAGGCTTCATTCCCACCAGGAGAGTCCTTTGCTTGGCCTGGTTGCTCCGCCACAAAAGCAGACTTTATGTTTGGTGAGATTTTTTTAATATGTGCTCTTTTGCAAGCGAACTATAATTTGTAAAGAGCCTGGCGGCTGAAGATTGTTGCTCCCAATGGATAGAAATGATGGGAAAAGAAATAGAAGTCTGGCTTGCTTCATTTGTGCCGTCACTACAACTGCAAGTGGAGCTCATTCAACACAGGTTTCATGATGGGATGTTTCTAATTTTGGAACGGTGTTGACCCACAACACAGTGGCAGCAGAAACTGCCAATCACCCCAGTGTAATCGCTGCACATAGGAGCGTTAGCAGCACTTGAGGCTCATTGCTGCCATGACGCCCAGCTACGGTGGCTCATGAAGTCTAAAGGGACGTTTGTTTTCTGTAGTTGATCTGGGTGGAGGGCTGCACCCGCTACGCAAGGCAACAAGCTGCAACAGGCCGCAAGGCAACAAGCTGCAAGGCAACAGGCCGCAAGGCAACAGGCCGCAAGGCAACAGGCCGCAACGCAACAAGCCGCAAGGCAACAGGCCGCAAGGCAACAGGCCGCAAGGCAACAAGCCGCAAGGCAACAGGCCGCAACGCAACAAGCCGCAAGGCAACAGGCCGCAAGGCAACAGGCCGCAAGGCAACAAGCTGCAACAGGCCGCAAGGCAACAGGCCGCAACGCAACAGGCCGCAAGGCTCTGTTGCCTTGCAGCAAGAAGGTCCTGGGTTCAATTCCCGGCCCGGGGTCTTTCTACATGGAGTTTGCGTGTTCTCCCTGTGCGTGCTGGGTTCCCTCCAGTTTCGTCCCACAGTCCAGAAACATGATTATCAGGTCATCCCCTTTAGATAACAATAACATTTTTATCTCTATTAACTAAAATAAACTAAGGTCACTTATTTCAGCTTAAGTGCATTTTCATGTAGAACCAAACAATGACCCAAATATGCATTTACTTGGTAATCAAGATATTTTCTCCCATCTGTTTACCTGTGCATCTAACTCAGATGTAACCTGTATGTGACATGAATAATAACAAAACTTAACATGCATAACTGCTATGCCTAGATAAACAGAAGGCTATTCAAGATAACGTTTCGGTGTCTTCCGTAGTCGTGTTGAACGCCTCACAACCACTGGAGGATCTGGGGAAACAGGAGGATGCACCCAGAGTCCAGAGCACTTTGTTCAGGTGTAACATTTATGTCACTTTGCTCTTGTGTCGATGGTTCAGGTTCCTCTATATTTGGTTACGAAGCTGATCCCCATATCGTCTGTGCAGTGTTCAAGTCAAACTGGGCCAGTTTGTCTTACAACCTGTCCAGGTGTCCACTTGTGAACTCCTCCCCCTGTGTTGCGAAGATACACAGCATCATCCACAGAAAAGGAACGGTCCACGGCTGTGAAGTCATGTTGAGCTTTTTGTCGATACTGCTTCCTGCGAACAGTCTCCTTGGTGTTAGGTTTAAGAAAATCCAGTCTGGTACGGATGTGTCTGTGCAAAAACATTTCTGCTGGAGACTGACCTGTTGTGCAGTTAGGTGTAACACGGTACTGTAGCAAAAACAATGAAAGTTTGTCCTCGATGCTACATGAGCGGTTGGCCAGCTTTTTCATGCCCACTTTAAACGTCTGCACATATCTTTCAGCCAAACGGTTTGTGGCAGGGTGACCCGGTGCACTTGTGTGCAAAATGCCATTCTGTGTCACAAACGTCTGAAACTCAGTAGAAGTGAAAGTGGTGGCATTATCTGTGACTATTTGTTCAGAAAGTCCATATAAAGCAAACCGTCTCTTCAGTTTCGTCACCGTGGCTTGTGAGGTGATGTGTGGCACATGAAACACCTCCAACCACTTTGAATATGAATCAACCACAATCATGAACATGCTGTCGAGGAAAGGTCCAGCATGTTGGACATGTAATCTTTTCCAGGATTCACCGGGGAACTCCCAAGGATGCAGCGGAACATGCTGTGGAATCTTCTGTTTCAGCTGACATGTTTCACATGTTTTGCAGACCTGTTCCAGGTCATGATCCAGATTTGGCCACCAGACATATTTGCGAGCTAAGGCCTTGGATTTTACGATTCCTTGATGACCAGAGTGAATCTCATTTAATACACTCTTTCTCATTTTCAAGGGTATAATCACTCTGGTTCCCCACAAAACACAACCCATCTCAGTAGAAAGCTCATTTCTCTTGTGGTAATAAGCCTTCAAACTCTCATCTGTGACAGTAGGCCAGCCCTCCATGACATACTGGTAAACCTTCGACAAGTCCATGTCTGTGCGTGTGGCCTGAGCGACTCGGGTCGCATTTAGTGGAGCTCTTTCAAAATGCTCAGTTAGTGAGTACTACTGCTGAACTCGATGCTGTTCCAGTGTCACTTGTTTCTGGCAGAGGACAGCGAGAGAGCCCATCTGCATTGCTGTGTTCTGATGATTTTTTGAAAACAATGTGGTAATCATATGCTGACAATATGATAGCCCACCTTTGAATGCGTGCTGCAGCTACGGTAGGTAGGTTCTTGTGCTCACCAAATAACGTCAGCAGGGGGCGATGGTCCGTTGCTAAGGTGAAATGCCTGCCCCATAGGTACTGGTGAAACTTTTTTACCCCATAAATCAGTCCAAGAGCCTCTTTTTCTATTTGAGAGTACTTTTTTTCTGCTGGAGACAGTGTTCGGGAAGCGTATGCTATTGGCCGCTCCTCCCCACTCGGTATTGTGTGCTGTATAACCGCACCGATGCCATATGCAGAAGCATCACATGCTAAAGTGATTGGTAGGTTGGAGTCATAGTGCGCTAGCACCCGATCACTTGTCAGCAGATCTTTGCATCTATCAAATGCTGCCTGCTCTGGTGCAGTCCATCTCCAAGACACACTGTCCTTCAGTAACTTGTAAAGTGGAGCTAGGGCCGTGCTCTGCATTGGCACAAATCTCCCATAATAGTTAACAAGTCCCAGGAATGCTTGCAGTTCTTTCACATTAGTAGGAGCAGGAGCATCCTGTATTGCCCTCACCTTATCTTCTGAAGGGTGGACTCCATGTTCATCCAGGACGTGTCCCAGATATTCAATTTGTGGCTTGTTAAACTCACACTTGCAACGTTTTACTCGCAGGCCATTTTCCTGAAGGCGTTGCAGGACCTTCTCCAGGTTGCTCAGATGTTCTACTTGTGAGCGTCCAGTGATGAGCAAGTCATCCAGGTAGACCACCACTGGTAACCCTTTCATTATGTTTTCCATAATGCGCTGAAAAATTGATGGAGCTGTACTGATTCCAAAAGGAAGCCCGTTGTAAACAAACAGTCCTTTATGAGTATTGATAGTTGTGTACTTCTTGGAGTCCTCATTCAACAGTACTTGTTGATAGGCTGCTGCCAGATCTATCTTAGAGAAGTACTTTCCCCCGAGAGTTGCCAGTAGTTCCTCCAAACGTGGCAGAGGGTACGTATCGGCTTCAAGGGCTTGGTTCACTGACACCTTGTAATCCCCACATAAGCGAATAGAAGTGTCCTTCTTTAACACCGGCACTATCGGTGCTGCCCACTCACTGTGTCTCACAGGTGTAATAATGTTACTCTTCTCCAGTCTTTCGAGTTCTTTTTCCACCTTTTCCTTCATTGCGAATGGAAGCGGTCAGTGTTTACAAAATATCTCTGTCTGCAGTCTCCATATTGAGAGCAATCTCAAAAGCTTTGGTGAAGGTCAGCCGATCCTCAGAAAGTAACCTCCTCTGGCACGCTTCGTTTTTTATTCCACTTACGAACCGATCCCTCAGTGCAGGATCCAGTGACGCACCAAAATCACAGTTAGCTGCTTGTTGCTTTAGCTCTGCGACATACTGGGCAACAGTCTGACTCGGCTTTTGGTTGCATCTATTAAAACGGAAACGTTCAGCAACTAATATGGGCTTTGGTTCATAGTGTTCTTTCAAAATGCCCACAATCTCGCCAAATGTCTTGTCTTTTGGTTTTTCAGGCTGTACTAAGTTTCGTAAAAGTCCGTATGCTTTAGCACCCATTACACTTAGCAACACCGCCACGTGCTTTTCTGTCAACGTCGTTAGCTTCCAGGTATTGCTCCAGACGCTCGATATAAGCTGTCCACGGCTCCACCTCGGGTCTGAAGTCATCTATTTTGTCAACCTGAGCCATTATTCTCACTAGAATTGACACTTGACGTCTTCTCTCCTCCGAAAAGTATCCTCGTCGCCAGTTGTAGTGTCTTAATAACCAGAGGAGGCTCGAGCTACGTCCATTGCTCTTTATTGTTGTGCTACGTTCAGGGTAACCATAGAGACAGAACTTTACGTCGATGAATACAATGGACTGTACCAACTCTAGTAAACCATGGGGGTAAATACACCACACTTCATTTTAAAGATATTAATAAAAAGGTTTCCAGATGAGATCAGTCAAAAGCAGCACAAACGAATCGTTTTGCTGCACAATCCAGACAAATGTGTGACATCATGTGGGACATTTTGTTAGATTTGAGAAAGAGTGACGCCTATGTAGACAATTTCATTTTTCAAAATACGTGTTTTAATCTTCAGTCTTTCCATCGGAGCTCAGCGTATCACGTGACCAGAAGCTCGGGGTTCCGAAGTTAGAACTTGAGGTTCTCGGTTTCTCCACGTTATTCTACTGAGCGGCTTTTATTCTGAAGGGCAGTTAGGCCCTGAGGGAGCTTCCGGGGAAGGAAATGCTAACAGCTAACGGCTAACAGACAGAAAACTTAACTTCCCGTTACTTGCCCGACAGAACCAGAAGCCCGGAACCGTTCCGAACCAACAACCGAACCTTCTTCTCATGCCGCTTCAGCTCTGAAGAGGCTTCTGGCAACCGCTCGTGCGCGCGCACGGTTTCCATGGCCACGGAGGAGTTGTACGAGGTAAAGCTAAACATGCTAACAGTTAACTTAGTGAAGTTTGTAGCGACTAGGTAACACAGTTGGAGTGTAAAGTTTCTGAAGAACCGGGTCAGCCGAGCCTGTACGTCTCTTTTTAACACATGGACGAGATTCTGCCTTACATGCTTCACACTGAGGGAGAACATTAACATTTCGGGGATGTTATTGTTGTTTTTCTAGCTGCTGTTTGGTTTCCAGTTATTCTGCTTCATCTCTTCCGACTAAAAGCTCAGGACTTAAAGGACAAACCAGTCTGTAGCTTGGGTTCTGTCCAGAAGAACTGGTTGTACTGGTGACCTGATTCTGACTTTAGTTCGTTTATATCTTCCGCTCTTATTTATCTAAATCTGCGGTTCTTCCTTTGCTGAATAATCGGTTCTGCAATTAATTAGCTCCTTGTTTCTGTGGTTGCCAAAATGAGCGATAAAATTAGCGGTAAATGAATTACTTTAATTCATTCAGATTCTCTTTATTGTCACTGAACAAAATGCTAGAGATGACAAACGTTCGCAAATAAATGGCTCAGCATGTTGACCAATAGGAGGGAAGCTGACCGAACGGCGGTCATCTGGGTCGGACCCAGGTTCTGGTTCCTTTGCAGTGCAACCGGGCCTCGTCCAGGGTTGGGTTGCTGCAGAGGAACCAGGTCGGATGGAGGTTCTGATGTTGCTACTTGGTCCAGGTGGAGCGCATCGTTGACAGGCGGCGGAGCAGGAAAGGGCGGGTGGAGTACCTGGTGAGGTGGAGAGGCTACGGCTCGGAGAGCGACACCTGGGAGCCGGAGACTCACCTGTCCGCCTGCATGTCCTACGTCCACGACTTCAACCGACAGCACTTGGAACGGGACGCCGCCCTGCTGCGCTCCACCCGTGGACCCCCCTGCGGCGCCGTCCGACCGGAGCCTCGGCCCCCAACGGAGGCCCACCCCGGACTCCTTTGGCCCCGCTCGCCGAGGCGTGGACCTGGCCAAGAGCGGGATCAAGATCCTGGTTCCTCGAGCCCCATGAACGCCCGGCCGGATTCAGAGGACTCGCCCAGTGAGGCGGCGCAAAGCCTGGAGGGGGGCGCTCAGGAGGCGCACCCGGTCCCACCCGAAGTCGCCCTGCTGGAGAAACCGGCCGCCATCCAGCTGGCGCCCGGCCAGGAGAGGGCCCGCATGGGACCCGGCCCCGGAACCAGAACCCACTGCCACAGCTGCCGCCAACAACTCCTGTGACCCCCATGACCCCGGCGGCAGTCCGCTCCCTTTGCAGCTCCGGTGAGTCTTACTAACACCAGCTAATCTGTAAACAGCTGAACAGGAATAGCCTCCACTGTCTGGCCTCTGATTCAGTTCAACACTTTATTCTGTTTGTAGATACCGTCTAGATTACTGCCTAGAGATGCTAAATGATAAAAATACAGAAAAGACAGAAAGTTTGAGCGTTCCTCATAGCAAGCTCGGATTGTAGTTTCTGTTGGGAGGATAATCCGTGGCGTTGTGACATCACTACTGGATTCCTGCCAGTCCTTATGCAGCCTGGTTGCTTTTGGACACGTTTTAAACTGGTCGGCCCCTTTGGGTTCTCTAGAGCTTTGTACCAGAATAATCCGTTGCTATTAAATTTCCATCAGACTTTGGAGCACTGTTCCGTTTCCCACAGGAAGTTACCTGTCCAGGTGGCGTTCAGGCCTGACTTCCTGTTTCTGTCTCCAGGGAACACGGCACTGATTGAGGCCGTTACCGGGGCAAGCGGAGCCGTGGGAAAGCGCCGCCTGGAGGAGCGCTCCACGTTCGACAAAGCGGCTGAGGGTCAGCGTCCGCCAGACGGAGAGCGCCTACCGCTACCGCGACATCGTGGTGAAAAAGCAAGATGGCTTCACCTACATCCTGCTGTCCACCAAGAGCTCTGAGAACAACGCACTCAACCCGGAGGTGAGGCCACGGCCCATCGCCGCCACGCCCCCAGGCCACGCCCCCAGGCCACGCCCCCACTGCCGCCATGTTCTGTGGACCCACCCTCTGCTGTCTAACAGGTGATGAAGGAGATCCAGAGCGCCATGGCGACAGCAGCGTCCGATGACAGCAAGCTGGTGTTGATCGGCGCCGTCGGCAGCGTCTTCTGCTGCGGCCTCGACTTCCTGTACTTCATCAGGCGACTGGCTGATGACAGGAAGAAGGAGAGCATCAAGATGGCTGAAACCATCAGGTAACATGGAGACGCAATGACTACAAGTCACCGCCTCCGTGTCCTCCATGTCACCTCCTCTGTGTCTCCTCAGGACTTTCGTCAACACCTTCATCCAGTTCAGGAAGCCTATTGTAGTGGCAGTGAACGGCCCGGCACTCGGACTTGGCGCCGCCCTTTTGCCTCTGTGCGATGTGGTGTGGGCCAATGAGAAGGCTTGGTTCCAGATGCCATACTCCTCCTGCGGCCAGACGCCCGATGGCTGCAGCTCCTTCACCTTCCCTCGCGTTATGGGCCCGGCCTCGGTGAGTTGAGACTGGGGACTAGGGAACGGGGACTAGGGACTGGGGTCCAGGGACTGGGACTAGGGACCGGGGACTAGGGACCGGGGACTAGGGACTGGGACTAGGGACTGGGACTAGGGACTGGGGACTAGGGACTGGGGACCGGGGACTAGGGACTGGGGACTAGGGACCGGGGACTAAGGACTAGGGACTGGGACTAGGGACTGGGACTAGGGACCGGGGACTGGGGACCAGGGACTGGGACTAGGGACTGGGGACTAGGGACCGGGGACTAGGGACTGGGACTAGGGACCGGGGACTAGGGACCGGGGACTAGGGACTGGGGACTAGGGACTAGGGACCGGGGACTAGGGACTGGGGACCAGGGACTGGGGACTAGAGACCGGGGACTAGGGACTGGGGACCAGGGACTGGGACTAGGGACCGGGGACTAGGGACTGGGGACTAGCCCAGCATCATGGTCCTGGCTTTGAAGTTTGCACCAAAAATTTGGAACAAACTTCCAGAAAACTGTAAAACAGTGGAAATCCTTTAAATCTCAACTAAAAACACACGTTTAGAATTGTATTTGAAATGTAATATGTAACAAAGTATTGTTTATTCCATGTTGCATGACTTTGTGTTTATGATGTAAAACACTTTGAAATGCCTTGCTGCTGAAATGTGCTATACAAATAAAATTTGATTTGATTTGATTAGTCAGGTTCAGTGAAGACGAGTTCTCTCTCGTCCCCTGGTTCGTGTGTTGCAGGCTAACGAGTTGCTGCTGGGCGGCAGGAAGCTGACGGCCCAGGAGGCGTGTCTTAAGGGTCTGGTGTCGCAGGTGTTATGGCCGGGAACGTTCACGCAGGAAGTGATGCTACGGATCAAGGAGCTGGTGGCCGTCGATTCTCAGGTGAGGGATTTTCTAACCACATTTTACCGGCAGCTTGGTGGGTTCTGGTGGGTCAGTGTGTTTTGGTTCTGGCAGGTTCTGCAGGAGTCCAAAGCCCTGATGAGGAGCACCAGCCGCGGCGCCTTGGAGCAAGCCAACGAGCGTGAGTGCGAAGCCCTGAAGCGTATCTGGGGATCCCTGCAAGGAACGGACTCCATCCTGCAGTTTCTGCAGAAGAGAACAGAACTCTGCTAGAACCAGAACCGGACCGGTTCTGCCTCTGTTTCAGGACCAAGATGTGGTGGTCCAGCCTTGGTGGACGTGTCCTGGTGTCACCCATTGTGTCTGAGCATACGCGCTTGTTCTGGACGGACTCCTGGTTCCACCCCACTCTGGTTCAGCATGGGGCGGTTCTTGTTGTGTCTGGTCCTAATACATCTGGTTTTGGTTCTGTACGGGCCGGACTGGGTTCCTCTGAGGTTCCTGTTCTCACATCTGCCGGAGAGAATGGGATTTGACCTGGATGGAGGTTCTAGACTAAACCTGGCCAGCGGTTCTGGTCCATAAAGGCTGAGACTATGTGCAGCGCCTCCCGTAGGTCTGATCCAACTCCAGTGAACACTCCTGATGCATTCTGGGTAAATGGGACTGTTGGCGCTTGTGTCACATTAAAGTCACATGACTGTCTGTGTGGTTCTGAAAATGTTCTGGTCGGGTTTGATGCTCAGAATCCTCCCATCAGAACCGGTCTAATGCCGAATGCATAAGCGTTAGTAGTCTATTGTGTAAAAGTTAGCAGACGCTAACATTAAATACATAAGTTAGCAAAAGCTAATGCCAAACCCATAACAGTTAGCAGTAGTTAATGCTAACCGTTCAGTCGACTGTTTCTCATCATGTTGTCCTTCCAGTTGACGATTGCTCTGAGACGAACAAAGTTCTCAGTTTCTGATTTTGCTATTTTCCACTTCCTGTTTGTACTTCCTGCACATAGTTTGTACTTCCTGTTTGTCCTGTACAAACTTTCTGTTTGTACAGGAAATGGAAAACATGACAAAGTTCATCAAAGTCATGAAAATGTTTTACAGTAATAAAAAAAAACATGCGACCCTAGGGGTTAGCATGCTAACGCTAATAGTTGTGTCAACACAATTATCACAACACGTTGCAATATAAGGGGTCTCCCAGCCCCGGTCCTCAGGGCCTGCTGTTCCCACTCCAGCCCACTGATCCAGTGATGACATCACTTCCTCAGCCTCTAGGAACTTCAGGAGCCGGGAACCGCCTCAACATGGAGGACGTAGCCCCTGAGGACCAGGTTGGGAGACCCCTTTCCATGATGATAGACACAAAATACTAGAACTTGGATCCATTTATTGAAACAGCTGCAGATGACAGAGAATCCTAAGAAATCCGGCGGTTCAGAACACGAGTCCACTTTTCTCCTCCCAGTAAATCCAGGCCAAACTCAGATCCTAGCCCAGTTGGTTCCAGTACAGACCAGAACCGAACCATCAGAATCTGGGACGTTAGGGGCCCGCCACCTCTGAGGCCCGGCTGGACGTTGGAGGTGGTAGGGAAGTCCATCAGAGCGGGCGAATGCCTCAAGGCGGGCAGGTGTTCTGTGCCCCAGCAGCCAGGTGCAGGCGGTATGTGTGGTCGGGGAACATCAGCAAGTTGTAGAGGTCGTGACCTCCGGTCAGGACATCGCGCTCGCCGTCGCCCCAGGACACCGGACTGTCGGTGAAGCCATGAACCGTCACAGAAGCCCAGGAGTCGGTGTGGGCCTCCTGCAGGTGACGCCTGGAAGACAGGTGAGTCACAAGGTGCTCAGGTGAGGTGAGTTGTGTATGTGTGTGTTCTGACCTCAGCTCCTCCACCAGGTGCTGCAGGTCCTGCGGCAGCAGCAGGCCGCAGGCCGACACGCTCACCGCCCGGCTCACGGTCGCCTCCGGTTCCAGACAGGTGAGCGTAGACAGGAAGTCACTGGATGAATTCTCACTGTAAACACAGAAGAAGAGTGACTCCCGGTCGTGACCCAGCAGAGCGCGGGAACGGCTGCTAGGCTCACCGGCTGACGGCGGCGTCCACGGCGCCGATCCACTCCAGGAGGTCGTGGGGGTCACATGACCGTAAGGGGGGGGCAGACCAAGCGGCTCAGGGCACGACAGCCGACCGCCGGTCTGCGTTCCGACCAACTGCAGCGAGATAGGAGGGGGCGCAGCGAGGCCCTGCCCCCTGCCGGACACAGGGCGATCAGCCAGGATGGGACCCGAGGGGTCAGAGGTCGGTAGAGGTCACGTCACCCGGATGATGCGAGATCAGGAAGTCCATCTGCAGCTTCAGGCGTGACGTCAGAGCCTGGAGCAGCCTCAGGTAGCCCCGCCCACCCGGAGCCATCCTGCCATCCTTCAGGTCCACCGTGACCTCTGCACAGGTACACACAGGTAAACAACCCGTTCCGGACCGAGCCTGACACAGAATCAGAACCATAACCGATACCGTATCTGCTGCTGGTTCTGTTGGATCTGGAAGGTCGGCCCTCAAGGCCCAGAGTTTCGAAGGTGTCCTTATCCAGAGAGAACACCAGGTGACCTGAACACATACACACCTGGCTCTCAACAGGTAACCAGGAAGTGATGTCACTTGAACTCACGGCTTACCGTTTGGCATCAGAGCAACGCAGTTATCCTCGTCGATCCGAGTTCTGAAAGACAGAGCGTACACGCTGCCTGGAGACAGAGACAGGTGAGTGTGAGACAGGTGAGTGTGAGACAGGTGAGTGTGAGACAGGTGCGTTACCTTGGTACACAGCGCTCTGCAGGAAGTCTTTGTCCAGCAGCTCATATAAGGGCAGCTGCTTGATCAGGAAGAAGCTGCTGAAGCTGTTCAGGATGGACTCCAGGTGAGAGGGGGCGGAGCCACACTCAGGTAGCAGCACAGATACCTGTGCAGGTGAGAGCATTCAGCAAAATGTCTTCCTGCAGACCCAGAACTGGATTGGTTTTGGTGACCGGGTCAGGAAGCAGTCCAGTTTGTCCCACCTAGAGGAAACTAACCAGTGGTTCTGGTTCTCTTAGAGGTCCAGCAGAACCAGGCTGCAGCCTACAACTGCTGATCTCACCTGGGCAGGTAATGCTGCAGGATGACAGACGATCAGAACCAAAGTTCTGGTCCAATAAACTGGACCTGACCGGCTCAGAGAGGTTCTGATAGATCTGAGTTAAGAACCTGCTTCTGCTGGGGGTGAGTCCCTGGTTCTGACCTGGTCCAGCTGCTGCAGGTTCTGGTTCTGCCATCATGTTCTGTCTAGATCACATGTCTGAGTCACATAGATCTGGGTCAGCTCACATTCTGGTCCCGGTCCGCTCAGCGTTCAGGCGTTCCGTTTATCTGTGCTACCCGTCAGTCCATCCTACCTTATGCATCAACACACAATCTGCTGAGTCAGCAGTCACAATCTGCTGAGTCAGCAGTCACAATCTGCTGAGTCAGCAGTCACAATCTGCTGAGTCAGCAGATTTCTTCTCAATCCGTCCTGCCTGTGGAAGTTTAGTTTCAGGTGTTTTATTTCATCACAGATGACAATAATCTTTATTTCATTGATTTTCTTTCATGAAGCAGCTGGATTACTAGCAGCTTGTCAATGGAATGATGGTTTAGTTTGCTCTGCACTGTCCTTACTGTAAACAAGTTATTATTTGGTGGTTAATCAGGACTAAATATGTTTTGGTTTTTTGTCCCTATACGTTAAAATATGTTAGTTTAATTCCACTCTTGTCGACTAAACTTGCTAAATAGATGTTAGCGATACGATGTGAAGCTGTAATATCAGTGCATATGAATCATATCCCATCATTTCAGTGACACGTTGTGGCTGATGCTGATAACATATAAAGTATTAATGCACAAAAACCGTTCCAGTGATCTGGATTAGTGTTTAATTCCAATAAAAGCTGTTTCCATCTGATCCGGTTTTATTCTAACAAACGCCTCTGTGTCTCAGATATTAACAGCTAGATATTGTAGGAAAGGATCAGCTGCATCTGCAGCTTTTCATTTCAAACTTTGGTAGGATGATGATGAGATGCTTCCATTTATTACTGGGATGGTATGAATACTTTTCCAGTAGCATCTGAGCTCGATCTGACCGCAGATGGATCAGCAGGTTCGGTTCGGTGTTGAAACGGAAGTAACAAATCTTTATTTCAAGTTCTGGACCCCCGGGGTTCTGATGAACTCATTGTTCGATTCGGGTTCTGGCGCTGTCCGATGTGGCTCTCAGGTGGTTCCGACCCAAACAACCTCAGCACGTGTGTTCATGCGCATGCGCATGTCTTACCTTGTAGTTGAAGCGCAGCTGCTCCACCTGGGAGCTGACCCGGTTCTTTTCGTCCAGAAAACTGGACCGCTCACAGACCAGCAGGTTTCGCTGGGTTCGGCTCAGGTCCGCACACATGTTTACGGAACCGGATCGTCCTGAGTCGGATCCGCAGCCACAGAGTTCCGTTTATTCAGCGCCCCCTGCCGGCCGGAGTGGAGAGTGGTTCCCAGTGTTCCCAGTTCACTCAGAGCTTATCTTTCACACACCTCAGAGTCAGATTATATATGAGCTTATAGCAGATTATTTTTAATAAAAGATCTGAGTTCTTCTGGTTCTGCTCCCAGAAAAACTCAGATCTGAGTCGGTACCAGAACCACCTGCACTCTGACAAACACCAGAATCGGCGAGTTTCTTCCGAAACTTCGGATCTGAGCCCCGTTTGGAAATACGTCACACCGTGTTGCCGTAGTGACGCACGCAACCCGGAAGTAACTCAGCCACGCGGTAGCGCGAGCTGGAGGAGTTTGGTTCTGGTTCTGGTCAGGATCGGTGAGATCGAACCTGTTTGAGTTTCTGTGCGCTGTGACGTCATGGAACAGGTCACGAGCGTCTCTGGCCAGTTTGATGACGCAGAGGAGGACAGGTGAGGCAGACCGGTTCCGAACGAGCAGAACCGTTTGGTTCTGGTTCTTTTCCTTTGTTTAAGCCGCTGAGACCGGGTCAGATCAGAACCTCATTCCGGGTCTGGAGAGTCGGAACCAGAACCAGGTCCAGATGGTGTCGGTTCTGTGGGATTCTGCAGCATCTCTTCAACCTGCCTGGTTCCGGTACCACAGAAAACTGTAGACCTGTTGCCATCACAACCCACATCATGAAGGTCCCGGAGAGCCGCCTATTGGACCTGAACGAGCCCATCCGAACCCTGCAGTTTGCTTATCGCTATGGAGACGGAGACGCCATCTTAACCTGCCTCACAAACAGAACAGAACTCAGCCTGATCAGAACCACCAGAACCTTCAGAACCACCAGGACCTTCAGAACCACCAGAACCTTCATAACCACCAGGACCTTCAGAACCTTCAGAACCACCAGGACCTTCAGAACCACCAGGACAATCAGAACCACCAGAACCAGGAGCTCAAGAGGCTCAGAAGCCTGAATAAGAAGGCTGGTTCTGTTCTGGTTCTGTTCTGGTTCTGCTCTGGTTCTGCTCTGGTTCTGCTCTGGTTCTACTCTGGTTCTGTTCTGGTTCTGCTCTGGTTCTGTTCTGGTTCTGCTCTGGTTCTGTTCTGGTTCTACTCTGGTTCTGCTCTGGTTCTGCTCTGGTTCTGTTCTGGTTCTGCTGGTTCTGTTCTGGTTCTGCTCAGGTTCTGTTCTGGTTCTACTCTGGTTCTGTTCTGGTTCTGCTCTGGTTCTGTTCTGGTTCTACTCTGGTTCTGCTCTGGTTCTGTTCTGGTTTGTTCTGGTTCTGTTCTGGTTCTGTTCTGGTTCTGCTCTGGTTCTGTTCTGGTTCTGCTCTGGTTCTGTTCTGGTTCTGTTCTGGTTCTGCTCTGGTTCTGCTCTGGTTCTGTTCTGGTTCTGTTCTGGTTCTGTTCTGGTTCTGTTCTGGTTCTGCTCTGGTTCTGCTCTGGTTCTGTTCTGGTTCTGCTCTGGTTCTGTTCTGGTTCTGTTCTGGTTCTGTTCTGGTTCTGTTCTGGTTCTGCTCTGGTTCTGTTCTGGTTCTGCTCTGGTTCTGTTCTGGTTCTGTTCTGGTTCTGTTCTGGTTCTGCTCTGGTTCTGCTCTGGTTCTGCTCTGGTTCTGTTCTGGTTCTGTTCTGGTTCTGTTCTGGTTCTGCTCTGGTTCTGCTCTGGTTCTGCTCTGGTTCTGTTCTGGTTCTGTTCTGGTTCTGTTCTGGTTCTGCTCTGGTTCTGTTCTGGTTCTGCTCTGGTTCTGTTCTGGTTCTGTTCTGGTTCTGTTCTGGTTCTGCTCTGGTTCTGCTCTGGTTCTGTTCTGGTTCTGCTCTGGTTCTGTTCTGGTTCTGCTCTGGTTCTGTTCTGGTTCTGGTCTGGTTCTGTTCTGGTTCTGCTCTGGTTCTGTTCTGGTTTTGCTCTGGTTCTGTTCTGGTTCTGTTCTGGTTCTGCTCTGGTTCTGCTCTGGTTCTGTTCTGGTTCTGCTCTGGTTCTGTTCTGGTTCTGCTCTGGTTCTGCTCTGGTTCTGTTCTGGTTCTGTTCTGGTTCTGCTATGGTTCTGTTCTGGTTCTGTCCTGGTTCTGCTCTGGTTCTGTTCTGGTTCTGCTCTGGTTCTGTTCTGGTTCTGCTCTGGTTCTGTTCTGGTTCTGCTCTGGTTCTGTTCTGGTTCTGTTCTGGTTCTGCTCTGGTTTTGCTCTGGTTCTGTTCTGGTTCTGTTCTGGTTCTGCTCTGGTTCTGTTCTGGTTCTACTCTGGTTCTGTCCTGGTTCTGTCCTGGTTCTGTTCTGGTTCTGTTCTGGTTCTGCTCTGGTTCTGTTCTGGTTCTGTTCTGGTTCTGCTCTGGTTCTGCTCTGGTTCTGTTCTGGTTCTGCTCTGGTTCTGCTCTGGTTCTGTTCTGGTTCTACTCTGGTTCTGTTCTGGTTCTGCTCTGGTTTTGCTCTGGTTTTGCTCTGGTTCTGTTCTGGTTCTGTTCTGGTTCTGCTCTGGTTCTGCTCTGGTTCTGCTCTGGTTCTGTTCTGGTTCTGTTCTGGTTCTGCTCTGGTTCTGCTTTGGTTCTGTTCTGGTTCTGCTCTGGTTCTGTTCTGGTTCTGCTCTGGTTTTGCTCTGGTTCTGTTCTGGTTCTGTTCTGGTTCTGCTCTGGTTCTGTTCTGGTTCTGCTCTGGTTCTGTTCTGGTTCTGTTCTGGTTCTGTTCTGGTTCTGCTCTGGTTCTGCTCTGGTTCTGCTCTGGTTCTGTTCTGGTTCTGTTCTGGTTCTGTTCTGGTTCTGCTCTGGTTCTGCTCTGGTTCTGCTCTGGTTCTGTTCTGGTTCTGTTCTGGTTCTGTTCTGGTTCTGCTCTGGTTCTGTTGGTTCTGCTCTGGTTCTGTTCTGGTTCTGCTCTGGTTCTGCTCTGGTTCTGTTCTGGTTCTGCTCTGGTTCTGTTCTGGTTCTGCTCTGGTTCTGTTCTGGTTCTGTTCTGGTTCTGTTCTGGTTCTGCTCTGGTTCTGTTCTGGTTTTGCTCTGGTTCTGTTCTGGTTCTGCTCTGGTTCTGTTCTGGTTCTGTTCTGGTTCTGCTCTGGTTCTGCTCTGGTTCTGTTCTGGTTCTGCTCTGGTTCTGTTCTGGTTCTGCTCTGGTTCTGCTCTGGTTCTGTTCTGGTTCTGTTCTGGTTCTGCTCTGGTTCTGTTCTGGTTCTGCTCTGGTTCTGTTCTGGTTCTGCTCTGGTTCTGTTCTGGTTCTACTCTGGTTCTGTTCTGGTTCTGCTCTGGTTCTGTTCTGGTTCTGCTCTGGTTCTGTTCTGGTTCTGTTCTGGTTCTACTCTGGTTCTGTTCTGGTTCTGCTCTGGTTCTGTTCTGGTTCTGCTCTGGTTCTGTTCTGGTTCTGCTCTGGTTCTGTTCTGGTTCTGCTCTGGTTCTGTTCTGGTTCTGTCCTGGTTCTGTTCTGGTTCTGTTCTGGTTCTGCTCTGGTTCTACTCTGGTTCTGTTCTGGTTCTGCTATGGTTCTGTTCTGGTTCTGCTCTGGTTCTGTTCTGGTTCTGCTCAGGTTCTGTTCTGGTTCTGTTCTGGTTCTGCTCTGGTTCTGTTCTGGTTCTGTTCTGGTTCTGCTCTGGTTCTGTTCTGGTTCTGCTCTGGTTCTGTTCTGGTTCTGCTCTGGTTCTGCTCTGGTTCTGTTCTGGTTCTGCTCTGGTTCTGTACTGGTTCTGGTTCTGACTGCAGAACCTCTGGAGATGATGATGCCAAGATGGATTCCTCATAAAATAAGAAGATTTTGGCCAACGCTGAAACCCTAACCCCTCACCCTACCCTTCAGTCAGAAGCTTCTTCAGGTTCACTGTAGCGCAGACTGCTACAGGAGATCCTTCCTCTTCAGTAACTGAAGAATCTAAATGAATGAGTCACAACATTTCATTTCCTGGAATCATTTGATGTTTGGTTCATTGTTTCTGAAAAATGTTTTCGGGTTTCTGACTCGGCTAACCAATCAGGGCTCTGATTGGTTCCAGTCTCTCCTCCAGCTGCTATCTGATTGGCTGTTTCTGTCTGGATTGTTGTTCATGTAGCAGCCAATCGGGGCATGTCATTAATGACATCACGGCCCAGCTGACCTCAGAGTGGATGGATGATGAGGATGAGGATGAGGATGGTGAGGATGAAGATGAGGACTGGGAGTGGACCTCTCCAGCTGATTGGACCAAAAGAATCAACCAGACCGGAACCAGCTGTCAGGTCAGACTCTGCTTGTTGTTACCATGCTTACCAGCGTAGGCGTCCTTTGATCAGGAAGGTTCTAATGGGTCCGGTATAAGGTTCTGTTCCTCCTCAGGCGAACCGACAGAACCCGTCCAGCAAGACGGCGTCATGGACTCCGACTGACAAGGTTCTGAGGAAATATGAGCAGAAGATCAATCTGGGTGCGGCTCTGCGTCACAGAACCTGTGCGGTTCCATGTGATGCCGTCATCATCACAGCGACCCAGTTACCAGAACCGGATCAGCAGAAAGGTTCTAATGGAGAACCCAGCCAATGTAGCTGCTAGCTGGGATTAGGGTTAGCGGGTTAGGCTGGCTGCTAATGTAGCTGCTAGCTACCAGTGGAGCCGCTACAGTAAACACTAACCGTTAGCGCTGATCCGGGTCGGATCTGGTCCTGCTTTCTGTACAAGTGTCACCTGTGTGGTGGCTCCGCCCCCTCAGGTGTGTCCTGTACCTGAGTTGCTGTGTTGTTCCTGCAGACCAGCTGAAGTTGGAGGACAGCGTGACCAACAAGGTGACGGCCATTCAGAGGCAGAAGGAGGCCGGAACGTACGTCTGCCCTCACCTGCAGTTGCTCACCTGCTGGTCATGTGACTCCTCTCTAACCTTCTGATTGGTTCCCTTCACAGGTACAGAGTGAAGGACAAATCAGACCGAGCCACCGTAGAAACAGGTCAGGATTGTGGATGGCAGGAAGTGACCCTGACAGGAAGTGACCCTGTACCGGCTGACAGGAAGTGACCCGTTGCGTTCCTCTGCAGGTGTTGGACCCTCGGACTCGGATGATTCTGTTCAAGATGCTGAGTCGCGGAATCATCAGCGAGATCAACGGCTGCATCAGCACCGGGAAGGAGGTGAGGTGACCTGGGTTCTGGTGCAGAGCGGTTCGGACCGGTTCGGACCGGTTCGGGGCGGGGCGGGTTGGTTGCCGTGGTAACCAGTGGGTTCCTGCGGTCGCTCAGGCCAACGTTTACCACGCCAGCACAT